AAATTGATTGCTTTCATAATTGTTTTTTCTACTGTATTTTTATTTGGAAAGCATGGGTTCTATAGAAACTGTTTCTGTTTTGATGGTGTGGGGAGAGAGGAGGAAATCTATTTCCTGTCATCTCTTGGTTGGTAGCTTCAAAACTCTGAAGCTTTGTTTTTGGTTTTCCTAGACAGGCTTTACCAGTTGTTCACTGGTAAAGAAATTAGGAAAATCTTTTTGGCCCTGTGTATCTTTAGAAACTGGTTTCTTTGGAAGTTTTGATCTAATGCTTCTGTGATAGAACACTGAATTGGCAAGATCTGAAGCAGAAGATGACAGCTTTTCAATAAATGGGGAGGTCAAGGTAACATAATCCTCTCTGCCTTCACTTAGCATACAAAGCCTTTCCCAGGCACACTGAACTTTCCTTTCAACCTCATTTCCTTTGCCAAAGCAGCTCCAGCCTGTCTTTCTTGTCCAGTAAACCATGTACTCAGACACATCCGACTGAGCCCTCATCTGTGCTCTTCTTTCTGGTTGGGCTGTGTGATCCATTCCTTCTTCATTTGGCAACATCTTTTGTTCCAGGCCTACCTCCTTTCTTTGTGAAGAGACCATATAGCAAAGGCATTAAAAAAAGGTTGATCTAGTAACTATGAAGAATATGAATTAGAAGAAGGAAGAGTCTGGAAACCAGAATAGTTTTAGGAACCAATGAAGTTCCCATGGATCTGAGTTGTGCAATATGGTAGCCACATGTGTCAATTAAAATTAAGTAAAAGTAAAAATTCAGATCGTGATTTGCATCAGCTACATTTCAAGTACTCAGTAGTCACATGTGGATAATGACCACTGTATTGGGCAAGACAAATTAAATAGAATATTTCCATAATAAAGCAAATGCTATTGGACAGTACTGTCAAAGAACAATTCCCCAAGTAAAAATGCATTCGTTCTGGAAACAAGGTTTATTATATGTGTTGAACCTTAAAAATCGCACCATTCATTACATGTAATCTAATTCTAGGTTGAGTGTATTAAGAATCAGACTGGCTGTATGAATGCAGCTTAGGATAACAAAATCAAATTTATTTATTTATTATTTTTTTTGGTGGTACTGGGGTTTGAACTCAGGACCTCATGCTTGCTAGGCAGGCGCTCTACCACTTGAGCCACTCTGCCAGCAACAAAATCAAATTTTATGTCCTTCATTTCAATACTTAAAAATAGCTTCTAAATAAGTAGCTCTTGAGTGAACGTTTATTATTATCCAGTTTTCTTTCATCCAAAGAGGCAAAAGAGGCCTTGCAAAGAGGCACAAAATAATTAAATACAATTTTTTTAGCCTTTATTCTGGTTGCAGTATTTTTTATTTGCAAAACCAATTTAATTGTTTGCCTGGTGTGGTCATGAGTGTTTTATTTTTAATCTTAAATCTTTGCTGTATATTAGCTTTCCAGGCATGGTAGCCTTTGAAAACAGTTCATTAGTTGACTTAGAAGTCACTTTTAATTTTTCTTCACCTCTTTCTACTCACTTCCTACTTCACTCAGTCCAAGAGCAAGTCCTAATTAATAGTTCTTACCCCAAAATATATCATAATTCTGCTGTCTCCATTTCCATTTTCCTATCTATCTCTCTCCTAGCCTCCTAACTAGTTCCTCTGCTTTCCCCTAAGTTCTCTACATAATAGGCAAAATGGTCTTTTAACAAGAAACCTGTAATTCTAGTTGCTCAGGAGGCAAAGATTGGGAAGATCACAGTTTGAGGTTTAAGGCCACCCAGGCAAAAAGTTAGTAAGGCCTGTCTCAGCCAATAAAAAACTGGGTGCAGTAGCATGCACCTGTTATCCCACTATGCCAGAAGCATAAATAAGAGGATCAAAGTCCAGCCTGGCCCTGGCATAAAACCCAAGACCCTTTCCCCAAAATAAAAGCCAAAAGGCAAGAGTGCTTGCTCGAGTTCAAAAGCCGGTATGGCCAAAAAAAAAAAAAAAAGGAAATGAGATCATATGATCATATCAATCTTTTGTTTAGGACTCCTGCTTCATATGCTACTAAGAAAGGATTCCAAATCAATTCCTCAGCGTGGTCTGAAAGGCTCCGTCTGAGCTCTCCCTTGCCTTCTTCCCCAACCTCATCACCACATCACCCTTTGAGCCTTCCTCAGCTTCAGCCTCATTGGTCCCCCTCAGGTTCCTTAACTACAGCCTGTCTCTCCTGTGTTAGGGCTTTTTTCTTCCTACTCTCTCCAAATTGTTCTTTCCCAGCCCTTCTCTAGCTTCAAGGTCTCTCTCAGTTCTGATGTTCTTTCTCTGGGAAGACTGCTTTGTCCACTCTTTCTCCAGTAGGTTCCTTCTATTTTCATCCCATACTCTTCATAGCATTGTCATTTTCTGGAATTATATTATCATGTTATTTGTCTATTTCCATGTGTACTCTGTCTACCCCTAGTAGAAAATAAGTTCTACAAGGGCAGGAAATTGTTCTTACTTTTGGTAGCACTGGAGTTTGAACTCAGGGCTTTGTGCTTTCCAGACAGGCACTCTACTACTTGAGCCACACCTCCAGCGCTAGGAAACTTGTTTTTATTTTCTGCTGTATCCTCAGTAGGTACAGCAGTATACATGGAGTTGTGCTCAATAAACATTCAGTAACACTGAATAACCAACTACTTTCTAAAGGAGGTTTAAGAGGATTTATCCCCTTTCTCCCTCCCTGTTCTCAGTGTCTCTGTCCCCCTATTCTCCATATATCAAGAAAGAAGTCTCCATGTGTCTTAAATGCAAATGTCCTTCTAGGCCCATTATATTTAGTATGAACCAGTGACTTCGTGACTGAGCCTATCTTTTACTTCATGAAATCATGGCCCACAGCTTTTTGAATGGTTGGTTTTAGCTGGAAAATACAGTGAACAATACATCTGGAAATATTCTGTCATGTTTGAGAAACTCTAGAGAACCAGCTGCTGATTTGAAAGGCATTTATTATGATACAGACAGTCTATTGTCTGCAAAAGCACTGGCTATTACATAGTAGTATGTGTGTTGCTTTTTCTGAGCTATTAACTTGAGAGAAAAAACTTGTATTCACTGATTTATGCCTCACTTGTACTCCTTGAATAGCTTATTGTGTTATTTTCTTTACTAGATTTATTGCACTTCAGAATTTTTCTTACTGCATTTTTTCCCTTTAAACTCAAATAAAAAATTAAATGGCTAAACAGGACTGAGAGACTTTCCAATCTGGGTTTAAACAATTTCACAGACTTCTGTAATAAAATGTGATTTAATTAATTTGATAATTTTTAACTTTTTTTGTGGTACTGGGGATGATAATTTAAAAAAATTTGGCCATTACTACTTTGAAGTTTTATATAAATGATGGATAATTTTTATTTATTTATTTTGGTGGGACTGGGGTTTTAACTTGACTTCATGCTTGCTAGGCAGATCTGTACTGCTTGAGCCACCCTCCAGTCCTTTTTGCTCTTGTTATATTAAAGATAGGGATCTCTGAAGCTATTTGCCTGGGCTGGCTTTCAACTGTGAATCCTCCTGATCTCAGCCCCCAAGTAGCTAGGATTACAGGAGTGAGCCACTAGCACCTGGCTAATTACTAAAATTTTAAGTAGGAAATAATCATACCTAATGACATAGAATAACATTTCAGTATTACTTTTTAAATTATAAAAGCTAGATGTGATTTTTATTTAGTTAGTTGTTTTTGTGCTGGGAATTGAACCCAGGGCCTCATGCATGCTAGGCAAAGACTGTACCACTGAGCTGTGTCCCCAGCACTAAATTATAAAAATTATATATTCACATTTCAGAAAATTAAAAAATAGGAAATGTAGATCTAAAGTAATTCAAATTCATCAAAATTTCTTAAGCATTAATACATCCTCTATTAACATTTGCTTTATGTTCTTTCATGTTTTTTGATATATATATGAATTTTTTGTTTGTTGTAGTGATAGTGTGTTTGCTATTTATGTTCCTAGTAAATGAAATATAATGTCTAAAGCATTTTCCCATAGCACTGAGTCGTTATAATAATTTTAGTGGCCCCCACAATAATCAATCTAAAGGTATATTTTAATTTTAACTCTTCTACTTTGTTGGATAATTTATTTCAAAAGTGTTCTTTTATAACTAACACAGTGAATACATTTGTGAATTTTGTTATTGGTGCTTATAGGGTATATTCTCAAAAGTGGAATTCCTAGGTTTGACATTTTTAATGTTTCCTGATACACACTAGCAAATGATTTTCCACAGTATTCTTGTTCACATTGCCACCTGTGGGGTGTAAAACGATTGCACTGTTGCATTCGGTATTTTTCATAGTGTGTCTTTTAAGTTGCTCTGTAATTACAGGAAACATTTTAATTTCAATTTTTTTGGATTATTAATGCAGTTGCAGAGTTTCATGTTTGGTTTCTAGTGTCAGAGTCATAATTGGTTCATATATTTTTCTCAGTTCTAATAACTTCTAATTTTTTTGCATAGACATTTTAGTCTACCTAGCTTGATTCATGTATTTCACCTAACCTTGTAGAGATGTAGCAGTTTTCAGTTAAACATATACTCATATTCTTTGTGATTTTTCTCTTCTTCTCTCACTGTGTACTCTCTCTCTCTTTCTTTTTCTTTTTTTTTTTTTTTTGCCTTTGGACACAGGGTCTCAAAACTCCAAGCTGGCCTCAGTTTCCTAAGTGTTGGGATTATAGGCATGTACCATGACTCCTGGCTATCTCTTGCTATTCTCAGTGATACCTTCATAAGGAAGGAAACATAAGGAAACAGAGCCTTATGTTTGCACTCCATATTGTTATCTAAGTGCATTGTGGAAACATAGTATGGGAGCATCTTAATAATTTAAAAAATCTGGAAATTTTCTTTGAATCCACAAATTTCAAAAAAGGATTATATCAAAAAGTATGTTTCAAATATGCTTAAGTAATAGTTTATAAAAGTCTGAGCATATATATTTGACTTATTATTATTTTTCTTGTAGGTTGGAAAAGAGACCGTTCAAACCACTGAGGATCAGATTTTGAAGAGAGATATGCCACCTGCATTTATTAAGTGAGTAATTAAAATATTCTCTTGATAAACAGAATAATTGCCTCATGAAAAAGAAAAGTAACCAATTCTAGGAATAACTTTTTTTTAAAAAACGCTTCTGAATCAGACTATTTTTTAATGTATTTATGTATGTATATATTTATTTTGAGGCATGTATATGTGTATTTATTTATTTATGAGACAGGGTCTCATTATGTAGCCTAGGTTATGAATCAGACTTGTTTCTTTTAGTTGTTGTTGGGTTTTTCTTTCTTTGGCAGCATTGGGGTTTGAACTCAGGGCTTTGCGCTTGCTAGACAGGCACTCTACCACTTGGGCCATGCCTGTAGTCCACCTTTTAGTTTTTAAATATAAAAGTTATGCTCACAATTGAAATGTTAAGTTTTTGTCTTTCAACATGATTTTAGTCATTGGTATCAAACATTTTAAGCAAATCCTTAATAAAAGTAAAGATGGATGCAAGAGACCCCTGTTTTCCCCTCAAAAAGGAATAAGGCTGCTTAAACAAAAAAAGAAAAACAAAACAAAATACCCACCCTCTCCAAGGATTTGAACAGGCACTTCAAAAGATGAAATCAGATGACCAACAAGCATATGAAGGGTACACTATCTCATTAGTTACCAGGGAAGGTGAAATTATTGTAAATTCCTAAATTAAGAAGCCTGATGATACTGGTTTTTATAAGGATATGGAACAAGCAACTGTAACTCTGTTGCTGTTGGAAATGTAAATTGGTATAGCCACTTTGGAAAGCAGTTTGGCTGCTTCCAAATGTAGAAAGATAGACAGTTTCATTCCTAGGTCTGTCTTTAGACATCTAAAAGTATTTATGTAAGTATTGCTCATGATGACCCCAATGTCCTATCTATAGTGCAGTGGATAAAAGTAATCATAGTATAGTCATAATTTGCAATATTAATCAGTATTAAAAAGAAATTTCACTTTAAAATGGGTAATTCTAGGGCTTGGAGGTATGGCTCAAGAGATAGAGTACCTGCCTAGCAAGTGTGAAGCCCTGAGTTCAAACTCTAGTCCTGGAAAAAACCAAACAAATGGCTAAGTCTTACATGAATTTTATCTTAATTTTTAAGAAAGGAATAAATAAATCTCAAAAATAATTTTAAATAAAAAATGATTGAAGGAAGTTAGTAATAGATACATAGATAGAATAGTCAATTTATTTAAAGTTTAAAGCATGCAGACATGAACTGTTGCTTAGGAATGCCTTGTTATGTGGTAAAAGATAAAGATGAGTAAGGAGACAGTGGTCACCAAAGTCAAGGTAGTGGTGTCTTTGGGAGGAAGACATTTGTACTCAGAGCTACACAGGGGATTCTTAAGTGGTAACCTTCTATTTCTTTCTTTTTTGGGGGGGTAGAGTGGGACTGGGGTTTGAACTCAGTTGCTCTACCACTCAAGCCATACCTGCAATACAATATTCATACATGGGGATTTTTCCTTCCTTCCTTCCTTCCATTTTTGGTACTGGTGTTTGAACCCAGAACCTCAAGCTTGCTAGGCAGGTGCTATACCACTTGCCACATCTCCAGCCTCTCCAATGTGATATATGTATCACTTTTTTTTTTTTTTTGGTGGAACTGGGGTTTGAATTCAGGGCTTCATGCTTGCAAAGGTGCTTACAAAGGAGGCACTCTACCCTTGAACCACATCTCCTCTATTTCCTGATGTAAGTGATGAGTTACATGGATGGTTTTATAATTATTCATTCATTCATTATATTATACATGTTATATATATATATAATGTAATTTTCTGTATGTATGGTAGATATGACAATTTTGAGTAAAGCTAAAAGTGTTCCACTGTTTTGATATCGCTTGTATTCTCATATTTTCATGGAGCAGATACAAAAATTTCACTCATTCATTTCTTCTTTTTAACTTCCTTGGGTGGGTGCTTTTATAGAACTACGTTTCTTTTAATTCATGTGTCAGGGAATAAGGTCCCAGAAGCATCTCTGTTTTTGTACAGCCTGTTTCATGTATCTTTTTTTGGTCTTAACATTCATTGGACTTAATGACCTCCATGGTTTCTTTCACCTTTAGTATGAGTCTGCTTTGTTTATGTGCCAACCAATTGGCATAATAATATTAAGAGGAATACTTTGCTGTCATTGAACATATGGTTAAACTTGCATTTATCTTACATTAAAAGCATAGCTTTAAGCCAGGTGAAGTGGTGCATGCTTGTAGGCCCAGCTACTTGGGAAGCTGAAGTAGGAAGGTCTCTTGAGCCCAGGAGTTCAAGACCAGCCTGGGCTACACAAGGATACCCTGTCTCAAACAAACAAACAAACAATCAAACAACATAGCTCGAGCTTGTATCACATTGTCCTTAACCCCCTGGAAAGTATAGAGCATGATGAGACTTCAGGGATTTTCAATATCAGGTGGGTAGTTGGACTAGATGACCTTTCAAAAAGTTTCTTTGAATTCTGACATCCTCGTTTATGAATATTATTGGATTGGTAAGTGGATTTTCCAGGAAACTCATTTTTGCTCATTCCTAGAGCTATTCCCTTGAAATATGCTATGTCATCTTACAGGCTTCCTTGAGGACTTAGAAAAATAGAAGAGGAATATTCCCTAGTTGTGATAAGATCTTCAAAAAAGTCTGTAACTAAAACAAAACAAAACTTCACTGATTGGTGGTAAGTGGGCACCAACCCCTTACACTGGTAATTGGTCTTTTTTTTTTTTTTTTGAAATGGTACTGGAGTTTGAACTCAGGGCCTCATACTTGCTAGACAGATGCTCTCCCACTTGAGCCACTCCACCAACCCTGTTTTGTGTTGGCTATTTTCAAAATAGGGTCTCATAAACTATTTGCCCAGCTGGCTTCAAACTGTGATCCTCCTGATCTCTGCTTCCCAAGTAGCCAGAATTACAAGTGTAAGCCACCAGCACCCAACTTGCTTATTGGTAATTTAAAAGAAAGAATTAAGCATTTATCCTGCCTTTCCCGTATAAACTTTATTTCAGAGTAACCTAATGACCCTAGTTGATGAGGAGAATTCTAACCACTAAATGTGGAAGGAATGACAAGAATTAGAAAATCATTGTTTCGTAACTTTCAATGAAGCAGTTGGTTTATGTAAGGGTAATCAACGGATGAAACGAATTGGAGGTTTGAATCTTTATTGTACCATGGGGCAAAAACTTTGGTTTCCATGGGGAATCAGGAAAAAAAAAAACGGTGTGTTAGGACCATCTGAAAACTTTACTGAGCAGTTTATTTTAAATACAATGGCTGTGGTTGTCAACCAAATTTGGAGGCAAATAAATATTCTACAATTTAAAACATGCTGGTTCTTCATGAGTTTGGTTTTTTCTGTTTGTTTGGTTTGGTTTTTGCTTTTCTTTAGGATATAATTAAAGCAGAAAATAGTAGATCCCTTGACGTGGAGGAGGAAGGGACAGAGAGGGAAACAGATGGAGGCAATTAATGACATCCTTGGAATTGTTGAGGAGAACATTCTTTTGAGCTGTTTGGTTGATGTTTAGAAGTTTCCAGGGCATGACTGACCTAAGCTTCCTTTGTAGTCTACTTTCACAAGGATTTCTAAATAGTGACTGCTTAGGGAGCACTAAGGAAGAAAATAAGTTTTAGAAACTTATTTTTAGATGAGTCTCCTAGAATGTTAGATTTTCATGGCTGGAGAAAACTGGGGATTTTTGGCCTGTGGATAGATTTATACCTCAGCCATTCCATAAATTTTTAAAGATTTGGGGCTGGAGGTGTGGCTCAAGTGGTGGAGTACTTGCTTGGCAAGCTCAAGGCCTTGAATTCAAACCCCAGTACCATCAAAAATAAATAAATAAATAAATAAATAAAGATTTTTTTCAGGGAAGGCTATAACATTTTTAGGATTTGGGGTCTCAAAATCAAATCATGGACTATTTGTGTGACTGGCAATTATAAGCATATTGGAAAGTGGACTTAATATCAGTTAAAAATGATAGCACAGATTGAGCATCCCTAATCCTAGTTCCAAAAAAAAAAAATCCCTCCAAAATCTGAAGACTTTAAAATCTGAAGCATTTCTAATCCCAACCATTTTAGATAAGGGATATTCAACCTGTATTTGAACTGTAATTGTTGATGAGGGACTTGTAGTGTTCAAAAGAATCCTTGTTGTAAAAGAGAACTATTTTAATATAGAACAAGATTTGCTTTGTCACAGGGAGGCTTTCTTGTGGTGGAGCAGAAGTTATCTGATCTCTGTCTCCACTGGCAGATAAAGTTCACAACTTACTGAATCTACCCAAGATTGCAGTAATGGCCACACCATTGCACAGGAGGTCTACAGTTGCATGATGATTACCACAGAAATTACCAAGATGGTCATGAACTTCAGAAGAGCAACAGCCATGCTGTACTATTGAAATTCTACTGACACTCACCCATGAGAAGTCATTTGTTCCTTTAGAGACTGTCAGTGGAGAGTCAGATCCAGTACTTATGTTTATATTTTGTATCATTGTCATTATCATCAACAGCCAACTGCAGTAGTAATTATAATTTATGTGTAATTGATTGATTAATGGGCTAGACATACTTATTGGCTAATTGAGTATTTATTGATTGTCTTCTCTTTGTCTAGCATGTTCAGTGCTAAATAGAATAGCAGTACTTATCAGTGTACAATGAATGCTCACTTGTGAGATGTATTATAAGTAATTCATTAATAGTTTACATTAATGAAGTGCCAAAGTTTATTAATGCATTGCTTTAAGAAAATAAATTTAAAAAATTAAGAAAATAAATCAGAGCTGGTGACTCACACCTGTAGTCCTAGCTACTCGGGAGACTGAGATTGGGAGGATTGTGGTTTGAGGCCAGCATGGGCAAATAGTTTGCAAGACCCCCAATCTCCAAAATAACTAGAACAAAATAGACTGACAGTGTGGCTCAAGTGGTAGAGCACCTGCTTTGCAAGTGCGAAGCCCTGAGCTCAAACCCCAGTCCCACCAAAAAATAAATAAAAACTAGCCAGGA